GGTTCATGCTTGTCTGAGCGCAACAGTTAGGTTTATTCGCTGTGTTGATGTCTCAGGAGTGGCGTTCTGACACGATTCAGAATCGCCGATACCTCGCAGTCAGGTTAACTCGTGGCGCGAAAGTCCTGAGAATGGTGTTTGCGCACGCTTCGGGATTTTCGCACGGTTGTCCCCCAACGTGGCAATTCCCTCAGTGGAAATGAATGTTTGTAGGGGTTTGAGAAGAGGGAGCTTGGAGGGAGGGTGTATTCCAACATCGCTGATGAGTCTTAGGTTTGCACTGGTCAGCACGTGTTGCCCCCTCCCTCTCCCCTCCCCTTCCGTCCCATCTCTTTCCCCCTCGGCCCATGGTGTCGGCGGAGCGCCTGCGCTGGGTCATGGACAAGTTCCGTCTCGGGCACCAAGCGCGACTATCGATGTCCTGTTTTCTTGAGCTGATGGTGGTGCTGATCGAGTACTATGCACAGGGCCCTGCCATGAGGAATGGTACAACTCTGGCGGTATCTGCGCTCCTCCTTCGGAAATTACCACCACATATTGTTGTGGAGCATGGTCACAAGCGTTCCAGTGGAGTTGCGAATGTGTCCATGCCTTTTCGTCCTGTCCCAGGTGGTGAGGAAGAAGACCTACAAGATGATGACGACGGATATCATGATGGACCTGGAGGTAATCCCCTTAATGGTGGAGGAGGCGGAGGTGGGCATAGCCATCGTCGACGTGCAGAGCCTGACCCCTGGCACGGACATGGTGGTCATGACCCTTGGGGTGGAGGCGGGGGTTACCCTTGGCAATGTTGGGGAGCAGCTAAACGGCCGTGGTGCTGTGCAGGTCATGGAGATCCCCTCCCTGCTACAGTTGCGCTCCCTGCGGCGCCGCGCTTCCCGTTCGACGCGGACGCAGTGGAGTTCATCCCGATGGACGCGGAGACCAGAGTTGACACGCTGCTGCACGCACTTGGCGTGGACAAGTTGGGTGGTAATTCTCATTCTGGGGAGGAATGGCGGTCTTGGAGGTGGTCGGACTGTACTTCGGGATGGTGCGCATGAGGATGCTGATCGTCGGGGAGGTACTATTCGTCTTTGGGCTTTAGCTGACGGTTTCGGGGATACACGGTCTCTATATGAAGCTGGTCGGCCGCGGGATGACGCACAAGAGGATGTGATTTACTGGATGTATTATTACTATGGTGACGGGGCCTGTAGTAGTCCTGATATTTGTGAGCTTACTGGCGTGGGTGATCTTCGTGTGGAGCTTGATGGAGATCTTCGTGCGAAGCCTGAACTTTGGGAGGAGCCAGCCGGTGATATTCGGATGGAGCCAGGTCTTTCTGTGGGGCTCGATCATCGTGTGGAGCCGGATGGTGCTCTCTGTCTTGAGCGCACTTTTGCGGATGGTGTTGACGATGTTGATGGTGCCGACGATGGCGGTGGGAGTTTTTGTTTCAGGTATGTTGTGTCTACCGCTGTGGGGACCGCACATATACGGCGTCCGAGTGCCTGTGCTGCCATGCGCCTGCTGGCCTTCGGCTGGCTGTGCACGATGCTGGAGGTTGGCGCCATGGCGCGCTCTCGACTGAGGACGCAAAGAAGGACACATACAGCAACACCTTCTTTTAAAGAAAGGAGGTGCGTGTTCGGGGACTCCGCTCACGCTCTGAATTCAACGGGCAAATTTGTATGGTGCGCGTCCACCTTCCACATCGGTGTGGCCCCGCATCACAAAAGGGAAGCGGTACCCTGTGCTGGTTGGTGAGCTTGCGGATCTTGTCTCGTTTCCTGTTTCGCGCCTGGTGGTCGCATTTCAAGCTGATCATGGGCGTCATTGGGGGATATTTCTTCGTGATTTCTTTCAAGGTACTGTGGTACGTTTTCCTTGGTAATGTCTCTGTTGGGCATCCCCGGGAGTAGTGGGAGAGCCACTCGGGAGAATTGGTGCGAGGCAGCCTTGGTGATGTGTAGTGGAATCATATGGGGTGGTGTTCGTGCCACCCATAAAGACTCGTACGCGGTGATTTTGAGAGGCCTCGGTCCCGCTCTTTCTCTCGTCGTTTTGCGTCTTTTCGTCTTGTCTTGTCTCGTCGTTCTGTCGCCTCCTTTCTCTTTTCCTGTCCTCCCGCGTTGTCGTTTCTGCGTTTTGGGGTGGTCGTTACGTCCCCTCGGCCTCATCCTCCTCCTCTTCTCCCTCGTTCCTTCGTCGCCCCCCGCTGTGTCCCACCTGGAACTAACAATCGTGGCGTTTGGCTTTTTTTGCAGAAGAATTCTTCTTACTCCTCCTCCATTGTACACAACCCCCCTTCTCTGATTGCGCGTCGCTTACGTGGCCGGAAGGGCCTGTCGCAATTTTTCAGTCCTGCGCGTTACGACCCGCGCACGTGTGTGAGACAGCCGCCAGCCGGTACGTTTTTGTTCCTAAAGTGGCTGTTTGTGCCCTGGTCTGGACATGCGCCTCCAGCCCGCGGCACTTCTTCAGCCAATGTGTCGTGCACACACGACGGCGTTATTGATTGATTGGTAGGATGGCAGATGTAACGCGAGCGCCCCTACCTGGTCCCCCCCCCTTCCTACTTCTCCCCCTCCCTTGTCCCCCTCGCCTCCCCCCCTCTTCCTGCTCTTCCGTTTCCTCCATCCCCTTGGGATTTGAAGAATCTTGGGGCCGAAGGCGTTTTTTACTCGGCGGAAGGCGGCGCAAAGCTGGCAGAAGAAAATGAGGGCAGGTCCGACGGGGGAAGCTTGCGGAAGGCCGGCGGAAGCCAGCGGATGAAAGATGCATCCTTCGGGAGATGCCAACCTGCTGGGATTCACGGGTTCCAGAAGCAGCCAATGGGGTTTCCCCCCCAGTGCGTCTCCTGGGCTCCACGGAGCCCCTCAGTCTTTCGCGTTACTTGAGGAATCCCTTGGGGCTCTGGGTTCCCATGAGGCGTGCTCTGGAGGTTGTCGAGCTGGACAGCCAGGCATCAGTGCACAGGGCGTCGCGGGGTTCTCCCCACATGTGACGCCACCACCAACACCACGAACGGGTGGGAAAGCCCAGGGGCGGGCATTACAAGCATTCGCTGGGGAGCCTCGTAGAGAACACGGGCGGTCGGAGCCCCCAGATACAAGTATTGCCCCCCCCCCCCCCCCGAGGATGTCCGCCCCTGCCGGAGCGCCGAATCTGGGCCTCCCTGGAAAAGCGGCTGTCGTTCCTCCGGCCATCGATTGGCCGCCCAGCTCAAACATCCACGCGCAACGCTTCCCTACCGAGAGAATACCCATATGCATCGTGCTGATTCCGTGCGTCCTCGTGCTCTGTGGCCGCCTGTGGCCTGCACGTGCACCCTTCGCCCGTGCTGATGTTTCAGTCATCAGTGTTTGTCTTGACTCTTGGAATCAAGGAGTGTTGAGCTTGACCAAATCTTCCAGAGGTATGATGAAAGGGGTGTGGTATAATGGGGTGTGGCGCCTGTGCTGAAAATGACGATGTTCTCTACGATTGCCGCAAGTGCGTTGCATCCCGATTTCAGGCACCTTGGCTTTGCGTCGACCGCTTCAAGCAACGTCAGAGCTTATAACTTCCAACTTCCTGAAGCGAGCGCCGTCCAATCAGAACGGCGACGCAAAGGCCAATTTCATGACGCCCTATCGCCAGGCATGCGATTCTGGAGATATGGCATATTCTGGGATTGATTTCTGTGCCTCCAAAGTTTCCAGAATGTCGTTGTAGTATTTCTGGAAGTATATATTGGCATAGCATAGAATAATTATCCCAGTGCGACCCTACCTAGGAGTTGGAGCATCTAGGAAAGCAACATCTACATCTACACCGACAGCTACATTAACATCTACACCTGCATATACATCTACATCAACATCAACAGCGAGACTCACATCTACATATACACCTACACCTACACCTACACCTACACCTACATCTACATCTACATCTACATCTACAGTTTCGCATTGCTTTTGCTGTTGCTTTGCTTTGCTTTGTGTTGTTTGTGATTTGCCTTGCCGTCGCTGCTGTTGCGTTGCCTTTGTTTTGCTGCTATGCTCTGCAATGCTATGCTATGCTTTGCTGCGTTGTGCTATGCTGTGCTGTGCTGCGCTATGCTATGCTATGCTATGCTGGGCTATGCTATGTTATGCTGGGCTGTGCTATGATATGCTGTGCTGCGCTATGCTATGCTACGCTATGCTATGTGATGCTGTGCTCTGCTATGCTAAAGCTCAGCGAAGCTAAGATGAAGGTAAGCTAAGCTAAGATAAACCTGAGCTAAGATGAAGCTAAGCTAAGCTAAGATGAAATAAGCTAAGCTAAGAGAGAGATAAGCAACGCTAAGCTAAGGGGACGTAACTGGGGGAACCGCGGGGAGGATACTGGGGGAACCGCCCGGGTCGGTGTGCACTGCCCGGCCCCTTTAAGAAAGAGAGTAAGAACCCTCTAGGCAGAGCCTGGGTAGGGAATTTCTGAATTCCAGAAGATCTGGAATTTCATGTTTGGCTGATACGTAAATTCCGGAATCGCGTTTTGCGCGAGTCGCGGTGGCCGAAATTGCGTGTTCGGTGATCGGGCGTGTTGGATCAGGTTGTTGTGTCGCCGTTAACATAGGATTGCGTCGTTTGGAAAAGTTGGGATCAGTAATTCTGACATTGTTTGAAGCGGTCGACGCAAAGCCGAGGTTGTCGAAGTCGGGATGCGACGCATTTGCGGCTATCGTAGGTCGATCACATCGCGATTCTTAGCACTGGCACCATACTCCTTTATACCACACCCTTTTCCGACCTCCACAAATCTCGAGATTGAGGACGTCCGCAGGCGTGCGCGGTTTCGCGCACAATAGTTTGACATACTAGCAGAATCTAGCGGAGGGGACGTGTCGACCAGAAGGCCTATCAACCTGTTATTTTTTAACATTCGTTGGAGCACGACCGAATGATTCGGATCCCTGGATCCTCTTTCGAGTCCATTCCCTTTCTGCTCATTTCTCTTCTCGCTAGTTTTCCCACACTTTCCCCAAGGATTTCTCATGGCTTTCCAACAACTGCTCCAGCTTCTCCGCTGGCCTCATGCGAGAGCTGCTCGTTACTAAGCCGTCCAAGCTGCCGGACCTTTGGTGGGGCCAGGGGGATGAGGAAGGGCAGCTGCAGCAGTGGCGTGTAGTAGCAGCTGCAACGGGAGCAGAGGATGAAGGGAGAGACCAAGAGGACCAAAGAGATTCTCGTGGAGGCCTTTCCACTCCATTCTGGACGGCTTGTCAGGCAAAAGGGAGGTCGACATCCAAAGTGAAGGTTTTCGATCCTCTGGGGAGGAGGGATGAGAAGGACGGGTATGAGGAGGAGGAAGAGGAGGTGGGGTGAAGGAAGATCGAGGAAGGTTGAGAAAGTGAGTCAGGAGTTTTCGCACTCTTGGTCGCCTTCGCCGTTGCATTCGTCGTCTCCGACGCCGTTGTCACCACCCTCATATTCATCGTCCACATTACCGTCGCCATCGTCGCCGCCGTTGCGGTCGTCGTCGCCATTGCCACCGTCGTCGCGGTCGCCGTCGCTGTCCGTCGTCGCTGCTGCTGTTGCCGCCGTCCCGATCGCTACCTTCGCCATCGCCACGCCGCGGCGGGCGTCGTCAGATCATGACTACAGCTGGCGATGATGTCTCTGATCTCTATGCACAAAGTCGAAGTCAAGACCTTATCTTGTCTGCGGGGCCAGAGATTTCCCGACCTAGCGCTGCAAGGCCTCTGGGCAGGCCGTGCCCAGTTGGTAGGTCTTTCACGCATGTATGAAGGTCTGGGTATGGGACTGGAGCAGCGTTCTCTCAAAACAGACTCGTAAGGCTCGCTCTAGCTTTCTGTGGACCTGCCGCACACCGCCCGTGCTTTCGCCAGGAAGCTGAGAAAGCTGAGAGCCCTAGGAGCGGGTTCAGCGGCACCCATCTGACATGATTTTGCAGAGGGTCCAGTGAGCAGGGAAGTTGGTTGGGGGGCGGGAGGCAGGGGGGAGGTGGGGGGGCAAGCAGCACTGAGGGCAGCAGCGGGAGCACGAGCAGCTGGAGCCGGAGCCATTTACCCCGCTGACCGGAGCCGGAGTAAAGCCATCTTCAAATTTGGAGCAAATCGAGACGTCGAACGACGTCCCAGGTCGTCGTGCCAGCCTCGACCAGAGAATAGGCACAGCAGCAATTGCATGTGATTTTCTTGATTATTCCGGAGCGAACACGATGTGCGCTATTCATTTGCTCAGGAGGTCATCACGAAGTCTTGGGAAAATGGTGAATCTAAAATTAAGTAAGTAGCACAGCTGGAAGCGATCACTGCGAACCTTCGTCTAGTCACTAGCCAGGGTTGGGAGGATGCCTAGAGGGAGGAAGAGGAAGAGGAAGAGGAGGAGGACAAGTGTAAACCGAAAAAGCATCAGCGATGTTGCAATGGACCTTCACTCCAAGTTCCCTCTTCACAGGTCCTACTAAGCATGTATGTTTATTGCGGGAGATGTTGCATTGAAAAACAGCAATTTGATAATCCCCAACCGTGCCAAAGCACCGTTCTTGGGATTCAACGCCGCGAATCAACGTCGTTGTTGCGTCATGACAACCTAAGCCGTGCCAGAGCACCATACCTGGGAATTCAACACCGCGAATCAACGTGACAGAGCCACATTTTGAAAAGGGCCCGCGCTCCATCCTTGAAGCTGTTGCAGATTTCAAACTGAACTTCATGATCATAAATGGTGAGGAAGTCTCTGGCGACACTCCCAGGCCGCCCTACTGACACGTCTAGGGGTGCGACAGGGCGGAGCTAGCGATATGTAAAAGGGACGGAGGAGCAGCAGCAGCAGCAGGAGCAGAAACAGTAGCAGGAGGAGGAGGAGAATCTGGGCAAGAGAAAGATCGATTGAGAGAGGCGACTTGCCCGTCATCTTTCGCATACCGGAATCACTGGAAGGCCAGGGGCAAGGATTGGGCATGCCCGTGGAATGGTACTAGCAACGACCCAACGGGCTACCTTCGTTGCGGGTGGTCCAGTGTACAGGCCACAGCCGAAGTTGAGAGGTATTTTTGCTATGATCATCACAGAGCAAGACACTAAGGGCGGAAACGGCTGAACCCAGAGCGGCGCCAGAGGACCGAAGTCGGGCCACTTGTGAGCCAGAAGTGTTGGCCAAATTGCCGGCCTCCCGGGTCGATGAGCTGCCCTATTTTTGGCGAATGCTCTGTGCCTCCAGATTGGTTTCCCGTCCACAGCGGCTCGCAAGGCACATGGCGTGACTTTGGGCCGTGGGGGATGGGGGGAGGGTCGTCGGCGAAGTTGATGGCGGCGACGACGACGACGACGAAGGCGACGAAGATTACTGCGACGAAGGCGACAACGACGTTGACGACGACGGCCAGGGCTTGCTGGGGCCGCGCGGGGGCTGCGCGCCGGGGGGCCATCAGGCCGACGTGGTCCCGATGCCTCGCCACGCCCCCCGTGAAGGCGGGCGACCTGGGCCGCTGGTTTTCGCATCCCTGAGCTTTACCAGACCTCCAACGCTTTGAACAGTGGGCATCCATGGACAGTCTTCGAGCCTGGGGGCCGTCCAAAAAAAAAAATATCTCCTGGGAAGTGGTTCAGAGCTCCAGGCAGCCTGCACTGAACAACATGTAGACCTCGTGGGCTTGGGTTCTCAGCTTACTGGCCCATGCCCAGGGGGCCGTGATCGATTTGTTGGCCTTGGCCCAGGGAGTCGTGATCGACCTCCAGGGAGCCGTGATCGAACGAATGGCGAGGAAGTCTCGAGCGGGACCCCCCTCCTTGTGGGGCCCCCGCTTGATGCTAGTAACCCGAGGCGGTCATCGGAGTCCGAATGGTTTCGCGATCTGGCCATCGAAGAACACGCCCTTGCCAGCCGAAGCGGCGACGGCGCCAAGGAAAGTCGACATGCGTGCCCTTGCAAGAGGGGCGGGAGTGGAGGTGGACGGGGGAGAAGAGGCATGAAGACGAGGAGGAGGCAGAACACGGGGCGTGAGGAGGGCCTCCGCCAGGGAGAAAAGGAGAAAGGCGATGAGGAGACAGGAAGCGAGCCTCTGCCCTGAGAAGTCCGTCGATGAGGATTGATTTCGGATTCGCCTGGAACACTCCCATGCGGGGTCCTACCGCCGGAGTAACTTGCAGTGCGGGCAGGCCCAGTCTGCAAAATCAGGGCTGCTGTTTCTGAGTGTCACGCCCTCCTCGTGTCTGGAGCTCGGGCTGCTTGAGGCTGCCCTCGGAGAAGCCCTGTGTCCTCCTGGGTGCTCACTGTCGGAGGGCACCAACTACATAACACCTACACCAATCCTGGCCAGCCGATACGTTGGTGCCCCCCTGCTACACGCGCGTCTGGGCTCACCTGTTGTTCTGCTGGGCCCTGTCCGCGCGCCCCTCGTCGCCGTGGCCAGGCCTGCGACGCTCCGTCGATGGCCCTAGCGGCCTCTCGGTCACGAAGAATTTGATGGCTCTACTCCCGTCGACGACCTCTCGAGGCCTCTCGCGGCCTCTCGGCGCACAGTCGACTTGCGAGGCTACAGGGCCCATCTCGATCCGATCGATCCGATCCGATATCGATTCTGGCCGACTCGATTGGATTTGATTCCGATGCTCCGACGATCCGATGCGTCGCGATGCTTGCACGGGCGAGCGTTGCCGGGCATCCTGGCTCAGCCGATCCTATTTGATTTCGACTCCGTTCCGATGCCATTACGATTCGATCCGATTTTTTAGTTCGGCGTGGATTGATCCAGGTCTGTGCGCAGAAGGCATATGTGGTCGCCTTTACACCACCGTCGTGGTTGGCCCTGGCATGGCGTGTACGCCCTCGTGGCCGAGGCCAGCAGAATCTGTACACCACGCCAGGGCCTCGCATGGTGAAACAATTCAATGTAGGTCACGATGCATCGAGGTCAATCCAGAGGGGCCAAGGTATGTAAATCTGGATGAGCAGCGGAAGATCCAGCGCGAGTCGGCGGACCGCAGAAGTTGTGAAGCCCTCCAGCGCTTTTTGGGGGGCCTTTCGCTGTGCTTCGTTGGACTTCTGGATGCCCCAAAAAGAGCAGCGAACGCCCAGAAATTTCGTTCCTCGATCCCCGTCGACTTTTGAAAACCAATGCTCCTGGCTCCATCGTGGCCATCTTTTCATCCCGGATCGATGTTTGACAGTCCCGAGGCCCGAGAAGGGTTTTCCGAAGCCGACATGTAGGGAAGCACATACATGATCGACAGAGTACGCGGTCGTTCGATTTTCGTTTATTCGCAGGTACGCATTAATTATCTTGACTCTGCCAGGGAGATATTTGGCCGTCTCCACGTGTTGTTTTTTGCACCAGATTTGAATCCGTTGTTTTAATCCCCCCGGCGATACGGCGAGGGCGCGAATCGTGATGTGACCAGGAGGGGGAAGGTAGAGAGGGGGCGGGGCTGGTCCCAGGCGTTATCGCCAAGAATAATATACACATTGGCCCTTACGTGTAAGTATGCTCTCTTGTGTTCTTATTTAATCGTTTCGCTCATTCCGCCGGCCCTGGAGCGCTATTTGGGGCCTCTTGGGGCCGTCTTGGGGGCTTCTTGGGAGCGTCTTGGGGCTCTATTGGGCTCCCCTGGGGCCTCTTGGGGGCCCCTTGGGGCGGGAGGGGGGGTAGTCGTTGGCAGCCCCCCCCTCGGAGGCCACGATCCTCGTGAGGGGTGGCGAAAAATAGCCTCCCCCCTGGGGATCGCCCGGGGGTCAGCCGGGGATCGACTGGGGTACTTTTCGTCCGGGGCCCCCCAGAGGCCGCCCCGCGCGCGCGAACTAGAAATATTGTCCGGAGATCTTAGCACGCCTCTGGCCCGTTGGGCCGGCGAATTTCGGGGTTTCAAAATAGTGCTCCCGCTGCAGAGTGGGCGTCATTTCCGAATCGGCGCTTTGCTCCCGTCGTTCAGGATAGTGCTCTCTCCCCAGCGCGGACCACTTTTCCGGATCCGAGTCCATTTTCATCGTTGTCGCCCCCACTACATCCCCTCATCCGCCTTCCCCAGGTCCTCCTGCTCCTCCCGATCCTTCTCTTCTCGCTCCTGCTGCTGTTCGTCCTCGTCATCCTCCTCCTTCCTCATCCTCCTCCTTCTCCCCCTGCTCATCCGCCACCTCCTTCAATGTACGCAGGTCCCTTTTTTTCCGACTGCGCATAGAACGGTGGAGTCCTCGTTGAAGTTCCAGGTCCGCCATGACACGCGCCGGCGGATGGGGAACAAACACCGCAATGGAAAGGGATGGGTGGGAGGGGTCGGATGTCAGATCTGGCGCGAGCGCACCTCGCTTGTCCCCCCCCCTCCCTACTCCTGGATGAGGAGGAGGGAAACAAGAGAAGGAGGGGAGGAGGAGGAGGAGGAGGAGGAGGAGGAGGACCAGAGTGATCCAAAGCCAAGACGCAGCAACGATGTTGCAGTACACCCTCCCGTCCTGGATCACCTCCTCACAAGTCCCTGAAAGTCTTGCTGCTCACTACAAGAATCGTCCCCTTGAAAGACCAGCACCCCATGGGCTTGCTATTCAAGCGAGGTCCCCTTTTTGAACAGGAGCTTGCTTGCATCCTTCTAGCAACCATGAAGTAATGCGCAAAGGTGTGATCATACAGTTCAACGAGGTCCAACGAGATCCCCGTTTTGAAAAAGGACCGCCCCATGTGTGTTAGTAATGTATCAGTCTACACGTCTGGTCACGAACGTCGAGGATGTCTCAAGCGATAACCACGCTTTGAAACAGGAAACGCCCTCCACCCGTGCCTCTGCTACATAAGTTCAAATGTCTGGCTTGCTGGTGCACGGAAGCCTGCACCAGGAGCCCCATCTTGAAAAAGAGCCGTCCTCTACTATCATAACCCTTGCAAGCTTGTAAGACGACTGTGCGCGACGAGAACAGGCGTGTGCCCCATTTTGAATAGGGGCCGCCTCCCATGTAACCGACGCAAGTTTGTATTGTAAGGCGATTGCGCGCGGCGCTGAGGCGAGAGCTTCTGTTTGACCACCCTCCGTCCTTGTAGTTGATTTGACATTTGAAGGCGAGTGTGCGCAGCACTAAAGCGAGAGCCCCATGTCCACCCTTCAATCCTTGCATGTCTTGAAAGCGTTTAGGACGACTACGCGCTGCGTTAAGGCGACAGTCACCGTTTGAAGACCGCCTGCGCTCCAGACTTGCAACTGCTGCAAACTTTTAAAACCAATGTGTGAGGCGCCATGGCGAGAGCCCCATTTCGACCCTCACTCCCATCCGCGTAGCAGTCGCAAATATCAAGCTTCAGGATGGTCTGTGGCGAAACGCCCGACCCGCCCTATCGACACGTCTGGGGGAACGACAGGGAGAAAGTACCTACAAGAAACACGATGGCGGAAGAAGAGGATCAGAGTAAGCCTAGGATGCGCCAGCGATGCTTCAATACACCGTCCCGTGCCAAGTCCCCTCCAGAGAAGTCCCTAAAAACGTACCCCCATTACGGTAGGCGCCCCTTTGAAAGATGAGCGCCCTATGGGTTTGACATTCAGGCGATTGCCCTTTCTTGAAAATGATTGGCATCGTTTTGACAATGAGAAACGCAAGGGATTGGGTCATCAAGGCCAGGGAACTGACCAGCGAGAGCCCCTTTTTAAAGAGGAGCCGCTCTCCACCCGTGTAACAGCTCCACGATTTAAACATCTGATCTCACGTCTGTCAAGAGGAAATGGGATGAGGGGGGTCGGGAGGAGGAGGAGGAGGAGGAGGAGGAGCGGGGTAAGGGTGTTTTGTTTTAAGCGTTCGTGTCCAATTCGATCGCAATCGTGTTCTCCTAGAAAGTCCTTTGCAAGCCTCTCGCAAGCCCAAGCCTTTCTGGCCCTGGGACATGCAACCGCACGGACTGTACACGAATATTTGATTAATGACAAGCTGGTATACATTATCGACACATGCATTTAACGATGTTCTGAACACTGCATTAGAGCCTAGACAGGCCGCTGTTCTCGGCGGAACGTCGCTCCGAGAACGACGGTAGCAAACAGTGAAGGGCCACAAACCCTCACGTAGCCATTATCCACTTGTGGGGGTGGGGGAGTCCTGAAGCCGTGTTGACGTGCTGAGTGACATTGAAGTCAGGTGCCAAGGGTGGAGGAGAGAGAAAGGCGGAGGACGCCGCCAGCAGAGCTGGCTGCCCCTGGCACCTTGCCAGCCTGAGGCTGGCGGAGGAGGAGGTGGAAAAGCAGGAGGAACAGGACCTCCCCCTAGCCCTCCCTCCATCTTTCCTTTCTCCCTCCTCCTCCCCTCGTCACCCCTCTCCACCCCGCATCCCCTTCGGCCTCGTGCAAATCCAGCCTCCAGTCACGACCGCCGCCGTCGTCGTCGTCGTCGTCGTCGTCGTTGTCGTGGGCTCGGCTCGGGGTCACACTTCGACCCCTGGACCTGTCCTGGCGTGCGTTCTGACCAGAATTCCACGGGGAATCTGGCCGTGGCGACGAGAGCGTCCCCAGAAGCCCAGAAAGGCTTCCGGAACCTCGATCCCTTGATCTTTCGATCCTCGAATGTCGTCGCCGCCGTCGCCGTCGTCGCAGTCGGCGGCGGCGGCGGCGGCGCGCAGCAGCGGCGACGACGAAGGCTTCGACTCGAAATCTGCCCCCGGACCCTCCCAGGGTCCATCCTGGTAAGTTGTTCACCCCGCGTAGATCTCTGACGGCACCTGGGCCCCGAACGGGGACTCCAGAGGCTGACAAAGGCGGGAAGCTCCTCGGCGTCGTCGGCGGTGACGACGTCGCCGGTGGCGACGGCCGCGCGCCGCAGCGGCCCCGCGCCCGCGAGGTGCCCGGCTCGGGCCGCGGGCGGCGTGGAGCCGTGCCGCGGGCGGCGTGGGGCGAGGTGCCCGGCGTGGGGCCGTCCCACGGGCCTCCGTCGCGCGCCGCCGGCGCGCAGGAGGCGGGCTCTGCGGGTGCAAGCGCGCCAGGGCTCCCAGGTGGGGTCGGGCAAGACGGGTCCGGAGGGTCGCGCCGCATCGCCGACGCATCTGCGAAGCGGCTCGACGTGGAGCCCGAGTTTCTCCACATCGACATCCCCGATGCATCGGTGGTGCATCGACGATGCGGCGCGATCCTCTGGCCCCATTCTAGTCCGACTCCATTTGGGAGGCTTCTGGCAGTCGCTGTCATCCGCTATGCAAATGGCGACGCTCGTTTTCGGGAGACCACGGGCCACTGGTGATATATCTAGGCCAGCCAGGCTCCGTGGGAAAGGCTCAATGGTACCCTAGGCACCCTCCGAATTCGGCACTCCTAGTCACATGGCGAGCCTATGATCGTCACGAGTATTGCCGTTACCGTCGTCGCTCGATCTGCTAAGGTTTTCGAATGTCTTTTCAAGGCCCTCGGCGATTTTCGAGACAAGTTTTGGAGGCTCTCGTCGCCAGTGCCGTCGCCGTTCGAGGACTCGAGGACACAGATCTCCGACGTCTTGTACAAATCGAGGCGGAGGGGGCGGAGGCGTTTCGCAATCTTCTGCGTCCAGGGGATTCAGGGCAGACGGATTATCCCCAGGACGTTGTCGAGATGTCCAGGCACCAGGTTTTGGTATGGGTTTTATCGCGAAGAATGATGTGCTGGCTTTCCCAGCGCATACGCACAGGACCGAGGCTCGAGCTCTCGAGAGTGGAGGTTTCGGGATGTGGGTTTTATGCTTAAGGGGGGTCCTCCTCACTCCGCCTCCAATCTCCGCCTCCTACTCCTCCTCCTCCTCCTCCTCCTCCTCCTCCTCCTCCTCCTCCGCGCTCGAGAACATCGTTTCGCAGCAGATGGCTGGCATCGCTTTGCAGGTGCAGGGCATATGCCACACCGCCCTTCAAGGCGTCCGCCAGGAGATGGAGGGCACGCTGCAGAAGCTCATGGCGCCGTCCGAAAGGCGCCTGGACTATATGGAGACCGACTTGCGCAAGTTCCAGAAGGAACAGCAGAGGCAGGAGCGCGAGCAGAAGGACATCCGCAACGAGCTCGAACGCATGCAGAAGGTCCTCAACGTGGCGGAAGCACAACTCCCCGCCATCGACGCTGCCAAGCTGGCAGAATGGGACCGCGAGCCCAGCCCATGCGTCTTCACTGCAGGATCGGCGACATCTGTCACCGCCTCCGAGGTCAAGCGCTCCATCGCCGAATGGGTCGCAGACGCCAACCTGGACATGTCCGAGATTCACTTCCATGGAGAAGCTGCTCCCAACCGCCGACACATCTTCGAAGTGCGCGCTGGCGCAGGCAGCCAGGCCAAGGCCATCCAGCTGGCTGCGGCCCTCCGCCTCCGCGGTGGTAGATGGAGGCGGTTCCAATGCATCGACACGCAGGGAGCCACCAACCCGCTGTTCGTGGGCCCAGACAAGAGCGCCAAGCAGATTCGGAAGGAGGTGCAAACAAAACGAATGCAGACCCTGCTTGAGAACGCACACCCCGGGCACACATGGAAATGCATCAGGGCGAAGGGCATCGTCACGATCGACTCGGTACCGCTGGTCGAGCTCATCCCGCAGGGGCCATCAGAGCCCACGCGACTGCTATGGAATCCGCAAGCGGCCTCCTACAATATCGACGTGGACGCCATTGCCAAGCAATTCAACGACCTTTTTCGGAGCTTCGAAGTGGACACCTCGAACTGGATCAGCACCTCGTACATCTGAGTGCCGATGGCAACCCTGGGAGTTGCAGCGGCCTGCAGCTCATCTTCCTCCTTCCTCTCCACCCCGACCCGAGGCGCTACCAGGCACAGTACCAGTACCAGGTCTACCACTACATGGTCAAGCTCCTTCCTCTTCACCTTCACCCCGAACGGCACCGCTCCAGGTGATCAGCTAGAATTGCCGCGGTCTCATGTGTCTTAACGGCCGCAAGCGCCGACAGAAGTTCGATCGACTACAGCGCTTCATGCAGAAGCGGGCGATCATCTTGCTTCAGGAGTGCCACGGCTGCGAGGACACGTTACGCAGCATTCTCAATCAGTACTCAACGGAGTACACCATCACGTTCAACCCGGGAAAACACCGAGGGAGTGGAGGAGAGGCAATACTCATACCTTGGCATGCGGATTCTACTCTCCAGGATCTCTCTCCTGATGTTCGCCCGGGCATTCTACACGAAATCATTGTCCCTGGGCGTATCTCATTGGTCACCATTTCCAACCCCGTGTCCCGCCAGGAGCTCCGCATTCTAAATGTGCACAATCACGATCTGGGTGCAGATGATCGGCATAATGTGCGCCGGGCCTGGCTTGAGAGCTACTCGTGGGCGCACCGGGATGAGCTACGACGACTTTTCACTGCTGCGGGCGATTTCAATATTTCGGATAAGCCTGCATGTTCGGTAACACATCCAGAAGGACTCCCACGTGGGGAAGCCAGCCGGGCGCAGCATGCTCAACCATTTTGGAGGCGGCTTTTCTACGACAGCGGAATGGTGGAGATAGAGACGAATTTACCTACACATTCTTCGGCCCACCACCAATCTTGCAGCTACATTGACAGTGTTTTCGTTTCGGCTTCACCGCACTTTCTTCAAGAATCGGCTTGCACAGCCACGGTATTGGAAGAGGCACAACACTTAAGCGACTGGAAGCTGAGCGACCATGCCATCCTCGAGATCAAGCTACAGGCGAAAACGAACATGAGCAAGCAAGATCAGCACATCCCCGCATTCATTTTCAAGCACGAGCGTTTCAAGACACACGTTGCACAACACGTTCATGCTACAGCGTGGGAGCATTTGAGTACGACCCGAGCCTGGAAGACGTGCAAGGAGATCATGACGAATGCCGCTCGGGAGACCAGGAACGAGCTGTCACAGCTGCCCGCTGGGGACTTATCCGAGGGGGCGGGGGATTCGAGGCGGCTCACAATGCGGTCAATTGCTCGGTGTGTCTGGCAACAGGACATGCGATTGGCAGCGCGGCTGGTGGCCACCACGGAGCTGGGGAAGAAGTACCTGACCATCAACTGTAGCGCCATCGCCCCTGACCCCCAGGTGAGCATCACGGATATCGGCGACTACGAGAGCTACAATCGGTCTTTAAACATTGCGTGGGCGGAGCGTCAACAAAAACATGCTGCCGATCGACTCCAGCGACACCAACGTCATCAGGCAGGTGCTGAACATCAGCTCAGCGCGGCTGCTGCTCGCAAGCTGGCCCGCACCGCGCAGCGCCGAGCTATGATGTGGATGCAACATCGACCTCGACTTGTCTTGGCAGGAGTTCGCATGGCGCAGCCTGGGGGATTTCAGCGACTCCTGGGCGATCCTCACTCTGATGCGCCTGGAGCGGCGCGACAGCCCGAGGAAATTGTCAAGGCCACCGCCAAACATTGGGGGCCGATCTTCCAGGACACCGCGGTGAGCGAAGCAGACATTGACACCTACCTCGACGAGCACATGCCGGCGCGCACGGCGCCCGACATCGCGACGCCCACTTACAACGACATGCGCGCCGTCATCGCCAAGAGCGCGGACGCCACACCAGGCCCAGATCGGCTCACCTACGCGGCGTGGGGCGCGCACGACAAGCTCAAGGAGTGCCTCTACGACATGATGCTGCACATGTTTCCGGGGCTTCTGTCCCGCCCGGCCTCAACTATGATGATTTGGTGGTGTTACCCAAAGGCGACGAGCCGGAGGATCGAGTGGAAGTCCTGCGCTACGCTCACGCTCTCCGGCCTCTGCTTCTCAAGAACAGCGACAGCAAGATTTTGGCAGCCACCATCAACGCAAAGCTCAAGACGGTTGCGCACAAGGAGGTACATCTCATACAGCAAGGATTCATTCCGAGACGGCAGTTCATCAAGCACATCGCCAGGCTGGACGCACGAGCGCGAATTGCATCCAACAAATCATCCGGAGCGCCCGAGCGTGAAGCAGAACTTCTTGCGTGCCCGAGCACGAAGCAGGATCCGGTGCGCCCGAGCTTGAAGCAGGACAAGCCGTGCTTCGTCAGCTTCGACATCAAGGCCGCTTTCCCGTCATTGGCACGGCGGTGGCAGTGGCGCGTGCTACGCCGGTTTCTTATTCCTGATGGCTTCATCAACGCGATCATGGCGCTGTACCAGAACAGCCTGGTCTTTGCAGAGTGGCGCACATGCACGAGCCCATGTTCTGGGCGACAGGCGGGGTAGCCCAAGGCTGCCCACTCTCCGGCACACTGTGGGCTCTGGCAATGGACCCGCTGCTGCGCCACCTTCACACCGACCTGGTGGAGACCGGAAATGGCGACGCGGGAGCATGCGCAGACGATGTCGGAGCTGTATTTCAAGATCTGACGGCGCTCCGGATCCTGCGACCAGTTTTCATGGCGGCTGAAAGTCTTGCCGCTCTGCGTTTGCAGACGGCCAAAACCGTCCTCGTTCCTTTGTGGTGCGAGGTCTCGCCAGAAACCCGTCTCACGATTTCGGAATCGATTAGACAGTTAGTGCCAGAATGGTCGAGGTTTAAGGTGGAGGGGGGTGCTCGTTACTTGGGTGTTCTGATGGGTCCTGGCGCCGCAAACCTCGACCAGTGGAAGGCAGCCGAGCAGAAGTGGCTAGAGCGCTCTTACATCATCCCGACTTCTCGTGCCCCTGCCGATGCGTCGCTTCGGTCATACTCGGCTGTTGCCCTCACCGTCCTCTCCTATCTCGCCCAATTTTTTAGACCTCTAGATTCCATGCTTTCCCGAGAGCTCGGATTATTGCATCGTGTCCTCCGCCTCCCTCCTAATTCGTTCGACGGCCCCACCCTCCACTCGCTTTGCGTTTGGCTGCCAGGTGGACGGCATCAGCCCCTCCCCCCGTGGAGCCAGGCCCATCTCTGGCGCACAGCAGCGTTTACAGTGCAGGATTGGGGCCCTTTGATCGAGGAGCTTCGCACCAGCGCAGAAGACGCCCTTTCGCTACCGCAGGTCGTCCAAGGAAATTGGTCATGCCAGCTCCGGAAAGAGCCCCGAGCGATTGTGCAGCGCTGGGCGGATGCTGTTGGTAGCACGCCTTGGCATAAACTTTCACGTTCGCGTCTCTACGTGGCTAGCCCGGCTGCCACGCGTGGCTGTTCTGATGCTGTCGCTGCGCATCGCCGGCCCCGACCACAGAGCCTCTACCTTTCCTCCTTGATCACCTCCCTCTTCCCCGACTCCGTGCCTCATCTCCTCAGGCGCCGATGCGAAAAGTGGTTGGGTGAACACGCCGCCCCACCAGTCACAGAACTAGGGCAAGCGTGGTCGGAGTTGAGGTTGGTTTTATTGGCCTCGCGGCCGGCATGGATTTGGGCCCACCTGAAAACTATAGCAGGAGGGTGGACGACCACACACAGGGTCAAGGTGGAAACACCCAGATCGTGCCTTTTCGGTTGTCACATGTGCCCTGATGCTTTTCCCCACTACCTCTCGTGTCCCCGCCTCCACGGTTCTATGTCTCTTGCTCGATTTCCTCTCCCTCTGGATCCTCTGATTCGTTTAGGGCTCGCGCTCCCGCATTTGTATACCACACAATTTGAGCGCGAGCATGCTCATGCTTACACTGTCCTGTGCTTTCACTTGTACAACAAAGTGCGGCACGCTGCTTCGCCTCCTCACACGCAAGCTGCATACGTTAACTTACTGAAAGCAGCGCAAGCTGCAATCAGCATGTAGTTGTGACGACGTTCGGCGCTCAGCTACTTGCGCTCCTCCTCCTCCTCCTCCTCCTCCTCCTCCTCCTCCTCCCCTCCTCTTCCTTCGTGTTTGCTGCTGCTTCTGCTTGTCGTCGTCCCGTCATGGTGCCCTGCCCCTGGGGCCCACCAAGGCATGAGGGAGCAAACCCGATTTGTCTGGCTGATGCCCCAGGGAGGCCGGGGCTTGGGACGCGTCGGCCACCGCCGCCCTCTCTCTTGACGGTGGCCCTGACGAGGTGTGGGGAGTGGGTGGCGAAACGCGCCCAGAGTCCAGCAAGGCACGAGGGTCCAAACCCGATTTGTCTGGCTGGTGCTTTGGGGTGGCATGTGCTCACGGGAGGTTGCAGCACCGCTCAAAGATGTGTTATTTAATCGAACCTGCAGGTTGGCCCCTTGATTGTTTTCCGAGCAGTGCTGCTTCTATTGTAGCGATCGGCCGCTGACATCTTCGCTGAAGTTTTGAAAGAGCGCGCTCGAGGCACATTTCCAACTAGAAGGAGGACCCCAGCTTGAAGCTACTCCCTCCTCTCCCTTCGAAAGGCCCCCGCCCTTCCTTTGCGAGCATTTCGGAGCTAGGGGGCCCAAAGCTAAACAGGGGGCTTCCAAGCTACCCCCCCCTCCTCTTTCCGGAGCTCAAGGTTAGCCCGGGCTCGCCTTTCAAAGGGGGGGCTTCCGAAGCTCCCCCCCCATACTTTTGTTCGGATGTTGTAGTTGGGGGGTCCTTGGCTAAGGGGGGGGGGCTTGGAAGCTACCCCCCCTTCCCCTCCTTTTCGGGGCCCAGGGTAATCCTGGGCTCCCCTTCTCCAAGAGGGGGCGGGCTTCCGTTTCGGAGCTATGTTATTTCTTTGATGTTCGGCGCCCTTTTGTTGTCGGCGTGCTTACGGTTTTCGGCTTCTCTTTTGTTCTCGTCGCATCTTTGGTTGTCGGCGTCACTTTGGCCTTTGGCACCCCTTCGGCCTTTGGCGCCCCTTCGGTTTTCGACGCTCCTTTGGCTTTCGGTGCCCCTTTGGTGTTCGGCGCCGCTGTGGTTTTCGGCGCCCCCTTTGGTTTTCGGCGGCCCTTTGGTTTTCGGCGCATGGTTGATTTCTGGCGCCCTCTAGGGTTCCGGCGCCCCTTCGGTTTTCGGCGACTTCTTGGTTTTCGGCGACCTTTTGTCGATCGGCGCCCCTTTAGCTATCGGCGTTTTGGGGGTCTTCGGCGCCCCTTTGGTTTTCGGCGCCTGTTAGGTTTCCCGCGCCCCTTTGGTTTTTCAGCGCTCTTGCGGTTTCTTGGATTTTCGACGCCTTTTTTGTTTTCGGCGCCCTGTCCGTATTCGGAGTTTCTGTTGTTTTCGGCGCCCCTTTCGTTTTTGGCGCCCTTTTGGTTATCGGCGCCCCTTTGGTTTTTCGGCGCCCTTTTTATTGGTTTTCGGCGCCCCTTTTGTTTTCGGCGCTCCTCTTGGTTTTCGGCGCCCCTTGGCTATTCGGCGCCCGTTTGGTTTTCAGCGACCTATTGTTTTTTTCGGCGCCCCTTTGGTTTTCGGTGTCCTTTTGGTTTTCGGTGTCCTCTATGTTTCCGCCGCATCTTTGGTTTTCGGCGTTTTTTGTGTTCGGCGCTTGTTTGGTTTCTGTTATCCTTTTGGTTTTCTGCGCCCCCTTGGTTTTCGGCGCCCCTTTGCTTTTCGACGCCCCTTTGCTTTTCGGCGCTTCTTTGGTTCTCGGCGCCCTTGTGGTTTTCGGCGCCCCTGTGGTTTTCGGCGCTCCTTTGATTTTTGGCGCCGTTTTGGTGTTCGGTGCTTTTTTGGTTTTCGGCGCCCCTGTGGTTTTCGGCACCGTCCTGGTTTACGGTGCCCCTTCTGGTGTTTGGCGACACTTTGATCGTTGGCGCCCTATTGATTTTCGACGCCCCTTTGGTTTTCGGCGTCCGTCGCCAGATCACAAGGCGAAGAGGGTCGACCGCGTCAAAGAATACAGCCCCGCCGATTTCCAATCATTTGAATACAGTATGGAATCGCGTGAGCGATTTCACGGCCAAGGGCAGCTTGCAGCGCTGCGGACGCGCGAATGGCGTGTCCCAGTTTTTCCGCTTGGTGGACTAGGCGTCAATATCTCGCATTCGGGCTTTGCAATGCGTTCGATACAGAGTGGAGCATTTGCAAGCAGGCCGCTCGCTGTCGGCTGCTCAGGCAATAAGGCGATGATGCCGAGCACGACCAGAGTAGACCCCATCATATAGTGATCGCGCCGGTTGAGGAGATCAGTGTAGACCCAAAAAACATTGGGAGGGAGGGTAGTGACAACCCGAGGGGTCCCAGTGGTCGACCCTTACAGCCGTGTTAGCCTTGAACACCTTCGCGGCGCGGTGGACATCCAAGGGCCCAAGAGGCTCCAAATCCCCCACGGATTCAAGAGGCCGTGGCTTCAACGTGTCCAACAACCCCATCACGGCCTCACGACTTCGTGGGGGAAACTTGCCAAAAGCCATTCCAGAATTGCTCACTGTACTCCATATCATCAGCAAGCTGTTTAGCATCGCTCGGCGTGACCAAGTGCTCGAGATCAGCGCTTGAGTCGAACTTACGCCAGGAACGCACACGTTTGGCACCTCGAGGGAGGGCCAAACTGAACCACTGCTTCGTTCCCGCCGCCGAAGTGGATCGCGCCTCCGACCAGCGGTGAGAGCATCAAGATCGGCCCCCTGAAGACGATTTGCAATCTGAGCTGGCCACCATTCACTACCCGAACATACCCAGGAACATTGGAAACAGCAGCTTGACTAGCGAGACCCCGAGGCACGGTCCCAAGGCACAACATTCCCCTGTCTGGTTTTCGGGCTCGACTGAACCAGTATCCCCCAGAGGGTTTGCAAGACACGCGCCTAGAAACCGAAGGCTGGATCCTGAAAGTTTCGTTCCGGTATTGGAAACTGATGGCCAGCAGCATGCGGCAGCAACTTGTCGGTCAAACAAATTGTGGGTTCAGGCTTCCCGGAGGATGATTTCCTACGGCAGGCCAGGGCCGCCACATTCGGGGAAAGGTTGAGGCTCAACACGTCGCCACAGAGTCTGTTCTACAATCTCGTGAGAGGTGGAAATGCTCAAACACCCGCGCGACTTGAATCTGGAGGGAGCGTGCTTCTCCCTTTTCATAGCCTGCAAGATCGTCAGAAGCAACGACATGATCGATCAGATATCTTCTCTGCGTGCAAGTGAACACAGCATCCAAAGGGAGAATCGATCGTGCTCTGGCAAGCTGCTGGAAACCACACAACTCAATGCCTGTGATTGGCACACTGAAACCTTCCATCAAGACCCACGGTCTAGACAGTGTTCCAACGACCTCGGGGTTTTTCTTCCAGGCTTGACACCCACCAAGTAAGCAAGTCCAACGGCTATCACAGCTCGCTTTTTTAAGCCCACGGGAAAACCAACATATTCTTTGAGCCAGGTCCGCAACGGATTCAGCGCTAGACAAAAGAGCTGTCGGAAACTCAATCCCAGAGACACCAGAGCTCCAATTTCACAATGGGCAGGGGGGACGGCAGTCTGGACGTGAGGGCGCCACATTTGCTGGTCTGCGCGTGGCAAGCTTGACAACATCACATTACAGGGGAATGCCCACAGAAGAGAAATCCATCACATGTTGGCTTCACGCTCCTGGCAAAAGCCAATAGAACCTTGTTCCAACCCGATGCGTTGCAGAAAGAAGCTCGGTTGCCGTGGGAGTGTTCCGACTCACGTGTCGTACCGGGTTGTCGCCACCCGCGCGGCCGTCTTGCTGCAGGGGGCACGGGCTGCACCCTTTGGGCGGCCGTTGGGCCTCCAACGTTGCCGACATTCTTGATTGGCAGTGCAGGTGGAAGATCAGGTCCATTGCCCAGCATCTGCTCCATGACTCTGTCGAGGCGGATTGGTCCTCGCGGATGGTCGTGCGCTTCTTGGTAGTTTGTTGGCGTGTTTGGCGAACGAATAGGGATTTCATGCGGTTGCATTCTTCCTCAGACAAGGTCTGTTTGGCAGACCTCTTCTCGAGCTCAGACGACTCAGGTATTATTACCACTCATTCTCGGCCACCTCTGATTTGGTATCTCCCATGTCGACGGCAGTAGATTGCTAATTGCGACGCTTGGCCTCACAGCACTCGAATCGCCGATGATTAGTGGCACACAAGTCATGAAGCAATCCAATGGGCATGGAAACCAGATCAGGCGGTCGCAAAGGCGCCTGACCCTGCGGAGGAGGTACAACAGCAGGTCGGGCAGGATGAGCTTCATGAACACCAGGTGCGGCAGCACCAGGCACAGGAACTCCTCCCACGGGTGCACCTCCAGCAGGTTCGACACCGCCTGCTGGAGGAGCTGGACTTGTTTCTCATTATTGTCGTTGTTTTGCGGCAAGAGCTTCACGAATGATTCGGGCTTCTTCTGCACGAAGGTCTTCACGATCATGATCTGGATTGAGTCGGGCCGTGGCTGTGATGGCTTCCCCCAGCTCGGCCTGCCGTGGCGTAATCGTAGAAACAGTGTCATGACGTGCCTCGTCCGCCTTATCCAAAGCTTCGCGGAAGTTGTCGATGGCAGCCCAGGTAGCCCAGGTGGATATTAGTTTCTTCTGCGCCATCCGTTCAGCGCGTGATTTACGTTCCAAATGTTTGGACATACGGGTGATCGTGAACGCGATCTTTTTCTCGAGCTCGTTTGCGAAAACGGTTTGAGGATCTTGGATAGGTCTTGTAGGTTTACGTGGTCCCTTCCCCCAAGACAGCAGCCATTCTTGGGAACGTGTTGGCCAGCTGCTGCAGCTGGCGCACGAGCTCTTCACTCTCATCGGATGGTCCACCAGGCACAGCAGCAGGAGACGACGGTGACAAGTAGTCGGCGCCGCAGCAGCGGCTCCAGTTCCAGTGGCCGTATCTGTCGAACTTCCAGTGGCCACAATTTTACATTGCATGGAGTAGGTCTGCGTGGCACCATAATTACGGCGCCTGTAATAGTCATGGCCATCACGGCGACGGTCACGATTGTTCCATGGATGGCGTTATTGCCACCCCATCTTTGTTGTTGCGAACGGATGTGGGGGACAGGTACAGTATACAGGAGCTGCACGTCAGTGCAGGAAAGGTGGGATCGAATTTGGGAGGAGGAGGAGGAGGAGGAGGAGGAGGACGAGGCGGAGGGAGAAGGAGCCACCGTGCCCTCTTCCCCCATGTTTCCCCCTCGGCCAGGCGGTGGGCAGCCAGACGGGGTTCATGCTGGACGCTGGTATGGACCGTGCCATTGACTTCCCGAAGGCATTCCCGCTGTACTCCAGGACGCTCCCCGCTCTTGGAGCTAATTGCCCGTCCTCGCTCTTCTCATCCGCTTGCTACTGTTGCTCACCATATCCAGCGTGGGAGGCACATGGTTGAATACAACTTGCGATCTTCTCTTGTCGTCGGCGTTGCACCACCATCAACGAATCGATGACGGGCGCTGGCTCTCTGCATGTTTGCCCTTGTCTACACCTCGAGGTGCACCAGCAAGTTCTTCGAAGCCAATGTTGGAGCCCAGGGGAGCGTGCATTTCGAAGCTCCGGTGTTGGACCTGGCGCCTTTGATAGCAAGCATAGGGCGAGGTTGCCTGCGGGAGGTCAGAACACATGTGACTCGCCCTCCAGACCTTGCAGCACCGACGTATGTATGTGGTTTATCGCTTGTCAGCCCCTCAGCACTCGGTGTCCGTCGCTTCGTGTGCCCGGTGGTGTTGTGGGCGGCACCGCCATGCGGCTCTGCCCAACGGCAGAATGTCGGCCGTGCGTTCGGATTGCAGCACGCCTCGAGAGCTTCAATGATCGGCACTATCGGTGCATCACGCAGTGCGCTGGTTCATGGTGGGCTCTATCGTTTCGGCTCCTGCGCACGTGAAAGTGGGCAGCTGACGAGACAGTTCCGCCGTTCATTGGTCAGCCAAAAGATGGTTTAGCCACGCGCGCGCTATGGTGCGAGCAGGCATCATGTCGCTCATCTCTCATCTTGTCTTACATGACCGTGTCTACCAAAGTTTGCGAAGATGAGTAGATCGGTCGCATTCAGAGTGTGGCCAGATTACTCATGGACTGCTGCCATCCCGCCACCGTGCCCGGGTGTTGTCCAGGGGCCTTTTGAAGGTCTCCAAGAGTCTTAAGAGTCTCTCAGGAAGATCCTTCGGCATTCTTGGAGACCTTTTGGGGGGGTTGGGGGGGCTTCTCTGGGAGGCTTGGGGGCTTGCTAGCGTTCTCGGGGGCCATCTTAAATGGATGGACTATGGGGCAACCGTTTTGGAACATTTTTGAGCCTGTCTTGGAGGTTTGCGGGCCGACTTAGGACGATCGCGATTGCCGTCTGGGCTCTTCCGGAATGTCTTGGGTGGTTCTCGGAGCTCTTTTGAACGGTCGTGGAGCTCTCTGCAGCCATTTTGAGGTTGAGACGAGAATCCAAGACGATTGAGCTTTAGCATTGAAGGATATTTTGGGCATCGCTTGAAGCATCTTCGAGTCTCTCTTGGAGCTTGTGGGGCACGAAGTGGATCCTTGTCAGGACAGCCGTTGCCGACGACGACGCCATCCGCCTGGACTGCATCGTGGAGAGCATCGATCCGAAGGTTGACGCGCAGGAGCCGCAGGAGTTGCTGAAGTTTGGATTTTACATTCCGGAGGCCTCAACGTACAGCAGGACGTTTTCTCCGACTTCTCCGTGTTATCTTCCCGTGTGTCCATCATTATCCTCATCCATCTCTTGCTGTCCTTGCCTTCCAGCCTTTCTCCCCTGCTTTGCGGATACCCCTGGATACTCGACCAGAATGGGGCGTGGACTTCTCGGGCGGATTGGGTGGCGTGCTTGTATGACCAGCGCGGGGATGGCCACAGTTCTTTCTGGGTATACTTGATTGGATCCTCTTGCTCACTAGCAGTTTCGAATTTTCCGACGCTTCGCATATCTGCTCCATTCCGTAGCCCCCCTGGCTCAAGCTCTTTTGGCTCAAGCCCTGGCTCAAGCCGCTCTGGCTCGAGTCCAGAGCAGCAGGGCGCTCTCGCGGCGGCCGCGGCGGCCGCTATGTCGTGGCAGAGTCGCCGCTGGCGCGCCTCCGCTGGGGCCGGCGCCGCTGGCGCCGCCGGCGCCGGCGCCGCGGGCTCGGTGGCCGGCGCCGCCGCCGCCGCCCCTGCGGCCGCCGGCGCCGCGGCTGCCGCCGCCGCCGCCGCCGTGGCGGAGGCGGCCGCCGCTGCGGCCGCGGGCCACGCGGCCGGCGCCGCGGCCGCCGTGGCCCGCGCGGCCGCGCTTGGGCCCGCCGCGGCTGGCGCCGCGCAGCAGCAGCAGCAGCAGCCGCTGCAGCTGCACCTGCAGGTGCAGCAGCAGCGGCAGCAGCGACAGCAGCAGCAACAACAGCCGCAGCAGCCGCGGCAGCAGCAGCAGCCGCAGCAGCAGTACCTGCAGCAGCAGCCGCAGCTGCAGCAACTGCAGCAGCAACAGCAGCAACAACAGCAACCGCAGCAGCAACAGCAGCAGCAGCAGCAGCAGCAACATAACCCAGCAGCTGCAGCAGCAGCAGCCGCAGCAGCGGCAGCAACAGCAGCAGCACCCGCGACCGCAGCCGCAGCAGCAGCTACAGGTGCTGCAGCAGCAGAAAAACACAAGGGAAGGGAGCGGAACGGGTCAAAAGGAGGGGCCCCTGCTCCCTGACGCCCTTCTGGGCACCCCTGACGGCCAGCAGACTGGGCAAGAAGAAACAGGCGAAGAGTCTTCAAGCACTCTTGCGGCCGCCAGCGGCAACCCTGGCGAACAGAGACCCACAACAGCGCTGACGGCCGTCAGCAGCACCCCTGGTGACGAGGGCCCCACGAGACCTCAAGACACTCCCCCCGAAGGTCATAAGGAGGTACCTTTGCTCCTTCAGCAGCAGCAGCATGGCAGGGAAAAGGAGAGGGAGGCCGCGGCGGAATGGGCGGAAGCTGCGGAGGCCGCGGAGTATCGGGGGCCCGAAGCGGCGGAGGCCTTTGAAGGCGCGGAAGAGGCACAAGCCGTCACCCGTGTCCCTGGAGCAGAACCGGGTGGACAGGGGTTGGCCCCCGAAAGTGCGGACGACAGCCGCAACAGCAACAGACCGCTAAGCGAGATCCTGGACCAGCAGGGGCTCGCCTGCCACATCGTGCCACCCCCACCTTCTCTCCACAAAATAAGCAGACCGTCAGCAGACCTCTGGGAACGCCTCAGACCCAACAGGGGGGCCACGGACCAGCCTTTCAGACGCAGGACATCGAAGCCATCCGCCGGCTCGTCGGGAGAAACCCCAACGCGCCTATTCGCCCCCCCTCCCCTGCCAGTGAACCCATTCTAACGGGCGGCGAACCTCGGGCGCCCCCTCCAGACGCCCAGGGCACGACTGATAAAGAATTCTGTGCTCTGGCAACGGAAACGGTGGCGCCGCGCGCGCGCGCTCTCGGCACGACCGGCGGCGCCCCCGAGACCCGCGAGAGCCCCGCGTCGACCGAAGGGCGCGCGCCCGTGAGCGACGGCGGGCACAGGCCCGAAGGCGAATGCCAGCGAAAGGGGCCTCTCCCCGCACACCGCAGGGCAGCGCCCGCCCGGGCTGCCGGAGGCGATCCGGCCCCTGCCCGGCGGCCAATTATGCGGCCCGCATCTTCCAGCAGGGCCCGGCAGGCGCGCAACCGGAACTGTCGCGAGCAGACTGCGAGCCCTTTGGCCAGGTCAGCGGGGCCGGTTCGCCGGAGACTTGCGGCCAGAACGCGCGGCGGCGCCAATGGCCAGAGCCGCGCCAATGGCCAGAGCCCTCAGACCCCGACACGGGGCAGCAGTTGTACAAAGCAAAGATGAACAACACCCAGTGGGACCTTCCCGGGGAGACACCCGGCGAGGCGATAAGGCGGCTCCAAGTCACCCCGGGGGCAATTTTCACAGGCACCTGGCACGCCTTCGCCAAGCAGCAGGCCGTGCCTGGCAGCAAAGGCGCGCTCGGCCCGCTTCGGCACGACCCGCAAACCTGCCTTCGCTTCCTGGACTCCTTCCGCGGCCACAAGTGCGACGTACGGGCCGTCAGCGACGCGCTGGGCCTCGGCGTCGACTGGGTTCGGCTGCGGCATCGGCGCCCGGGTCGAAGCGGCGGAGCGAGCAGGGATCACCATGCGGCACAAGGCCACCCGGACACCCACGCGCCCAGGAAGGGCAAAAAACAGTGGCCGGTCGTCTCCCCACAGTAGCCGTTGCGGCCCCACGTCGCGGCACCGCACTGGCTGTGAAGGACCCCGCGCGCTCCTGTCCAGCGGCCATATCCCTGGGTGCCCGTCCCGTCGCCCCCCCCGGCGGGGAGGGGCCCGCGGGGTCAAGGTACCCTGCGTCCCGGTGTTGTCGGCCAAGGACCGTCTGCCTCCTCCCCCCCCGTGCTCGCCCCGTCCTCACTTGGCCCAGAGCGGCGACGGGCCACGTGCCCGGTTTCACGCGGGGTGCTGCTGGGTCCACGGGTTCGGGACCTCCTGCGGATGCACAAGGGACTTGCATCCTGGCGCTGTCCGCCATGGGCCGTCGGCCGCACGGGCACGTGTCCTCCTACGGGGGGCTCAGGGTACGCTTGCGTCCTGGTGCTGTCTGACCAGAGCCGTCTGCCGCCACCCTTCGTGGGCGCCTCGTCTTCACCCAACCCAGAGCGGCGGTTTGCCGCGACCCTGGATTCACGCGAGGAGCAGCTGAGACTACGGGCACGGCACCTCCTCCGATTCTTCAGCAGCGGTCAGCGGCTCCTTGGGGGTCCACAACACCACACCCCTCCTTGGATGCGTCGGGTTCGGGGTGGCAGCACCGCCCCCGGCGTGTCAGTCCACTGGCTGCTGCCTGCCCACCCTGGACCACACCAGCAGTGGGAGATCGGCCGTTCGGTATTACTCTCCTCTCAGCGGCGGTTCGCTGCGCCCCCGGACGCCCGTCCAGCCTTCAGCGGGGCTGGCTGCCCACTCTGGGCCCCTCCAGCCTGCCTCCCGCGGGAGCCCAAGGTACTCGTGCATTCCGGTGCTGTCCGCAGGGCCGTCTTCCGCCTCCCCCCGTGGGCACCCCGCGGGGATTCAGGGTACTCCTGCATCCCGGTGTGGTCTGACAAGGGCCGCCTGCCGCCACCCTCCGTGGGAGCTCCGTCTTCACCCAACCCAGAGCGGCGGTTTGCCGCGACCCTGGATCCACGCGGGGAACAGCTGGGACTACGGGCACGACACCCCCTTTCTACACTTCAGCAGCGGTTTGTCACTCTACAGGCTCACAAACATCAGCGGCGGTTAGCTGCGACCCTGGAGGACCACAAGGCGGCCCAGGATGCACGCAGGGGGCTGCCGAGACTACGGGCCCGGGGCCTCCCACGGGGGCTCAAGGTACTTTTGCCTCCCGGTGCTGGCGGCCAAGGGCTGTCACTCGCCCCCCCCCCCGTGCGCGCAAGTCTTCACTGCGCCCAAGGCGCGCCACCCCCCGTCCACCCCCCGTACACGCTCGGCGTTTGCCGCGTCCCTGGGTCCATGCGGGGAGCTGCAGAGGCTTCGAGCACGAGACATCCCGCGGGTGCTCAAGGTACTCCACGCGGGGAGTAGCAAAGACTACGGGCACCAGGCATCCCAAGGGGCACAGGGTACTCTTGCATCCCGGTGCTGTCGACCAGGGCCGTCGTGAGGTGCGAGGTGCGAGCTGGACGTCGTGAGCAACAGCGCTGGGACCCGCGCGTGCGCCAGGGGTGAGCAATGGCAACTCGCACTGTCGCTGCTCAGCGGGATGTCAGAGGTGGAGTTTACATTGCCGAGATTTGCGCGTGTGGGAAGGCCGGGCAGTGGGGCAGGCTCTGTCGCTCCTCAGCGAGATGCGAGGGGCAGTTCGAGCCAGACGTCATCAGCTACAGCGCTGGGATCAGCGCGCGTGGCGGAGGCGGGAAGTTGCCTCGCGCACTGCTCTCGCACAGAGGACTGGGGCAAGCTTATTTTTCGCCGCCAGGCAGGCGGGGGGGATGCTGTGGCCCACCTCCTGCCCTTGGGCAGGAGGGGGGCCACAGCCTCCCCCCCGCCTACCGGGCGGTGAGCACAACCTTGCCAGGACACAGTCTCGTCAAATACTGACTCTAGCGGCGATCAGCTGCGACCCCCGAGGACCAACACCCAACATCCCCGGTGTGGCATCACTGACCGCAGGGACGGACCTGCACACTACTGACTCACAAACATCAGCGGCAATCAGCTGCGACCCCCGAGGACCACAATCGATACCATGTTCTCGAGCGGCGGTTAGCTGCGACCCTGGAGGACCCAAGAGAATGACGACCCACCCACCATTTCATTGTCTTGAGCGGCGATCAGCTGCGGCCCCGGAGGAACCATTAACCACTTCTCCTGTCCCACGGGTGCGGGGCGAGACCGAGGGGAGGGGCGGTGTCCCCCCCGCCTGCCCCCTCTGGGGCCAGGCGGGTGTCCCCCGCTCTTGGCCCCAGGGCCCGCCAGACGTACTGTCCGACGTCGGGCGTGGCCCCCCCTCCCTGGGCCGCCCGTGTCCCTCGCTGTACGTGGTTTGTCTCATCACTTTCAGCGGCGATCAGCTGCGACCCTGGAGGACCACGTGGTGTCTGTTGCCGTTCCAGGAGCTTGGGCGGAAGTGCCAGCGGTGGGCTGGGTCTGACTTTGCGTCCAAGGGCCCTCGTGTCC